ATGCTCTCAGAACCGAGGGCCTCTGAGAACCCAGGGCAACGTGCCATCCCTGCCTGTCCTGGCCGCTCAACCTCAGCCAGGCCGCAGCCTGGGCCAGCGACCCAATGCCGAGGCCTCAGTTTCCTCATCTGTGCAATGGGGACGGTGACCCTGCATCAGCTGTAGGGGAGGGCGATAAAAGCACAGGGAGGAGAACCACTGACACCGCTCCCTCACCCCTCCGTCCTTCGTCCCTTTCCCCCAGGAAGGCCCCTCCCCCACACAGGGCTCTTCACCTTTTTGGGTCACAGACCTATGTGATGTGTTTTTGTTTTTTTAAAATATATTGGTTTTTTACAGAGAGAAAGAGAGAGTGATAGAGAGTTAGAAACATCCATGAGAGAGAAACATTGATCAGCTGCCTATTGGGGATGTGCCTGCAACCAAGGTCCATGTCCTTGACCGGAATCGAACCCGGGACCTTTCAGTCTGCAGGCCAATGCTCTATCCACTGAGCCAAACTGGTTAGGGCTATATGCTGTTTTTTAAAACCTTCTTTTAAATTTGATTTGATGAGAAAGAGTGAGAGAGAGATCTGTTGCCTCCCACAAGTGCCCCAACCAGGGATTGAACCTACAACCTTTTGGTGTAGGAGAAGATGCTCCAACCGACTGAACCACCCCGGCCAGGACTGACCCAGACCATGTGGGAATGTCACAGGCCATGCCCTGTCCGTCTAGAAACACCAGGAGCCAGCGGGAGCTGCCCGCAGACGGGCCCAGGAAGCCTGGGCACTCCTGACCTCAGGAGACACGCTTCTGCCCAGAAATGTGCGAAACGGGCGTGAGGCAGCGGGGGTCCAGGGAGGGCAAGCCCAGGCCCGTGCCACGTGTCCACAGGCCCGGCCAGGGAAGGGGGCTGGTGGGAGGGAGGGAGGCTGCCCGTGGCCACGGGAGTGAGACAGGAGATGGTGCGGCTTTTCCTTCCCGTCTGTGGGCGGCTCCGCTGTGGGCAGTGCCCGGACACCAGCCTCTGCCCTCCTGTGCTCTGCCCGCGACTCCCCTCGTCCCCTGCCCGGGACACACGCCTGGAGTCTCTGTTAGGGTCCCCCTGCTCCTGGTCCCTGGGAGAAAGCCCTGGGTGCTAGGCTCAAGTCACGTAAGCCTGCGGGCAAGCCACTTCTCCCCTCTGGGACCTACTTCCCACCTGTGAGGCGGGCGGGCGAACGGCACTGGCTCCGAGGTCGTGGGCTGATGGTGACAGGTCAGCGGTCCGCAGAGTCAGAGGCTGCGGGCAGGCCCAGCGCCCGCAGAGCAGCTCTGCGGGGCCTGGCCCTCCCCACTCAGTCCCCCCCCCGCCCCCCACGGGATTCTGCAGGAAAAGAAGTTTGAAAACTCCGGACGGAGGAGTCCATAGGTTTGTTGTGTTCCCACCAGCCCTACCCATGTTCTCATTTGCCCCCCATTACAGGCCATCCTGTCCGGGAGGGGCCAGAGGACCGGGAGGCTGGGGCAGGGTGGGAAGGCACAGAACGTCCTGCCCAGGGCCCCACGGCCCGTGCTCCCATCGTGGGCTCTCTCCAGGCGCTGTTGCCTGGGTTCCTGGTCCTTGCTTGGGAAGGCGAGGGCTGGGGAGGTAGGATGGGGGGGACGGGGTGGGAGGAGCGGCTCCCAGGAGTCCCAGGCCCGGCCCTCCCGCGAATCTAGGGAGCCAGGGGCAGCGGCTCTGGAAGGCCTGAGGCTCCAGCAGGGAAACCGATGGGACCAGACAGGCGGCCGCGTCTGCTGGCTGCTTCTTTCCCCCGGCCCTCCGGCTCCGGATGCGTGTGCAGCTCTCGGACCTGCCTTGTGCTGAGGACGCGGGCCATGGAGGCCTCTGGCCCTCCCCACGCCGGTTTGCCAGGATAACTGTGTCCCAGTTCAGCACCAAAGGCCTCACTGACGCCCCCACAGGCTCCCAGAGCCCTGCCCGCTCTGCCCGCCCGCGATGGGCCGGAGGGATGGGAGCTGCGCACGGCGCTGGCCTCGGAGGCTCCTGGGCGGCACGGCCTAGAGGGGCTGCGGGCGGGCGGGCGGCTTCTCAGCAGCAAGCCCGGCGGCGCGGGGCCTGGGCCGCTGTGCGGCTGGCGAGCGTCACTGGCCTGGGACCCTCACGGACGGGGCCATGTGATTGGAGCGTGAAGAACGGGGCTGGGGGCTCGTTCCAAGGAAAAGAGAGACGCTAGAGCGAGAGGGTTGGCTTTCCAAAGCGAAAGCAGAGCTCACACAGGAGAGGACAGCATTTCCCGGCTGTGGAGGGGCCCTGGGCCTCCGGGGCGCTGGGCGTCCGCTTTCCAACCGCTGCCCGAGTCCGCTACCCCGTGCGGCCTGCACCTGCCCCCCGCCGGAGCCGGGGAGCCGGGGAGCCAGAGCCGGGGAGCTGGGGAGCCGGAGCCGGGGAGCCAGAGCCGGGGAGCCGGGGAGCCGGGGAGCCAGAGCCGGGGAGCTGGGGAGCCGAGGAGCCGGGGAGCCAGAGCCGGGGA